TCTTAGTCCAAAGCTCTTCAATGTTTTCAGGAATTTGATATAACTAGGAAATTTGAGGTATTTTTGACTGTTTAAAGCTGTGATTTGGAAATTATAGAATGTTTTTGTTGTTGGTACCAGGGTTTGAACTCAAGCCCTCAAGTGTCCGAGGCAGGATCTCTTACTATCTGACACACTTTGCTAGCCCTTTTTTCATGATGGCTTTTTTCCAGATAGGGGTTTGAAATCTCTTTGCCCAGGTTGGCTTCTAGCCAAAAGCCTCCTGATCTCTGCTTCCCGAGTAGCTGGGAATACAGGAATGAGTCACTTACTGCAGACTGAAATAGTAGAATTTTATATGTTTTTGTAGGCCACAAATCTTGGTGGCAGTGAGCTCTTTATAAGGATATGTGCCAACCCATTCCTTCTTTTACCTGTTGACATTCCCAAATAAAAGGTATAATTTTGATTTATGTGCATACTGAATTATCCTTCCTGAGTCCTGTCTAGTTTTTCATTCATAGTGGTCTACAAGAATACAAGTACAAATATCTGATGTCTGTTTCCATGTTTTTATTCACACGGGGTACTCTCACCTCACTGAGACGCAATTGTTTTGTTTTCCCTGTGTGACTGGAGTTTAAAATCAAGGCCTGGTGCTTTCTAGGCAGGCCCTGTAATCCTTCAGACACTACATCAAGTGGTTTTTGTGGGTATTTTTGAGATACTATTGTGAAAACTGTTTGCCTGGATTGGCTCTCACCCTGATCCTCCTGATGTCTGCCTTCCTGTCCAATTAAAGTGTTTTTTCTCCTTTTTTTCTGGTTTTCTTACTTTGTTTTGTTTGGATTTTTCATAGTTGTTTTGAACTCAGGTCCTCATGCTTGCTAGGCATGTGCTCTCACTTCTTGAGAAGACACTGTCCCAGTCCTTTTCTGTGATGGGATTTTCAGATAAGGTCTCATGAACTATTTGTCCAGGTCTGGCTTCAAAGTGCGCCCCTCCTGCTGTGTGACTCCAGAGTCACTAGTATTACACACATGAGACACCAGTGTACTTGGCCAAATTGTAGTTTTCAGTCCTTTGAACATTATGTGTGCATTTTTCCCAAGTCTTGTATTCAAAATTACTTTCCTTTTTTTTCCAGAATCAAAAAGTTATTGAAAAACTAAAATAAAATAGGAGGTCATTTTTTATGCCTCAGAAAATGAAATATAGCTGCGTTATCTTGGAGAGTCATTAAAGTCTAAGGCTTTCTCTGAGAAAACAAATTCCAGAAGATTTATAGATCAGTAGTGTTACTTTCTTCCAAAACAGCAACCTTCCATGAGTCTGGCTTCTCTTCCTGTAGGCTGACACTGCAGTGTTTAAAATCCTGCACAAAGCAGCAGTGTTTGCACATGACTGAAAACTGGGATATTCTTGTAGCCACCTGAACATTTTACATCCATAAAATACAAATTTGGAGTTTGAACTAATGATTTTTTAAAAGTTTTTTCTTTTCCTCTTGCAAGAAAAGATGTAGAAATCTCTAACCAAAAGCATGTTTAGTCCTTTGGCAAGCGTAATGTGTCTCGATCACTCAGGTAACAGCCACCTCCACCAAGCAGCACTTCCAGCATACCAGGCTAAGAGATTCTACTGTGACTTCTGCATTGAGGTTGTCTTGGGATATGTGACATAGTGATGGAGCACTGGGTTTTGAACTCATGGGCTCCTTGGTAGGCAGCTACTGTTTCCACTTAAGCTATCCCACCAGTCCTGTGTTGGGTATTTTTGAGATAGAGTCTATTGACATATTTCCTTGTGATCTCTGTTTCTGTGAGGTATGAAAGCAGGCATGATTCACTAGAGCCATCAACCTGTGGTATCTAAATCTTTGAAGGGTCCTGCATTTTGGTCATACCAGAATTCCTTTATGCAACCAAGGTAAATAATTTCCCATATTCTTTGAAACTATGAAGTTTAGATTTTCCATTTTGGTCTATGATCCAAATAGACTCAATACATTCTAGACATCTGTGAGTGGCTTTCTTTTGTTGTTGATGTTGTTATTGTTTTTATTTATTTTAGTATGACATGATGAAGTATAGACAAGGTTTTTAGCTAGTGAAACAAAGAGAGAAATATTTCCTGTCCCCACCCAGGAAATGAAGCAAGAGTCCTGATTTTTTTCTTTTTTGATATAGTCTCCCTAAGTAGGCCAGGAAGTGAGTGAACTCCACAGTTCTTCTTTTGCCTCCCATATGCTGGGATGAGTGGCTGGAATGAAGTTTTTTATAGGCTGCATTCACATATTCTTTTGTATATTTTATGTTGATAAACCAAATTGTCAATGGAACAGTAACATGTTTATAAAGAAAAACAAGAACAACAAAAGCAGGTGATAGGCTAGGAATGTGTGGCTTAATGGTAGCGTATTTGCTCAGCAAGCACAACACCCTGGATCCAATCTCCAGCACAAACACAAAAAACGAAGGTGAGAAATTTTGGCTGGCCCAAATCCATTGATGAATTCAACTTTAAAATAGTCTACCGAGAGGTATTTGAACTGTGGAAGGTAGCTTCTCCTTGGGGGCACACTTTGCAATTGGTTTTTGAAAAGGAAATGCAGGATTTTGTCATTAGTACAGAACTCCGTCTATGCTAAGAGATGACATTGAGTAAATTTATGTACAATTTATCGTCTAATTGTTTGTCTGAAAAAATGGCCAGCCTTCAAATTTAATATACTCTATTGGAAGGAGGTTGAACTGTGGAAGGTAGTGCCTACTGGGGGCATAGTTTGAAAAATGTACACCTTGTCCCTGGCCCCTTCCTGTCACACTGTCTTCTTCTTATCCCTCTAGAATTAGCTGCTTTACTAGGATTACAGGTAGTAGCCACCTACACCCAGCTACTGGCTTGCTTTTTTGTTGTTCATTATTGTGGAATACTTTTGTGCAGTGCAATAGAGGGTAATGAAAATTAGGGACACTTTCTCTCTGTGTGTTTACAGTGACTTTCTCATTTTCCCCATTCATTTGGCTAAGGTTATGTGAAAGAATTCATTGTCTGGTTACCAGAAGAGGAAAAGAAAAGTGAAAGTAAAAGTCATGACTGTTACCTTCAGTTCCTTGAAAATCACATCAGATGGAGGACAGGTACCAGGATACAATGGAGGGAATGCAACAAGAATGCCCCCAACCTCAAAGTCACATTGAAGAAGAGTTGCACAGTATCTGTCAGATAGTCTTTTGGCTCACCCTGAAATCTATCCTCTTCATCCAAGTGATTTTACAAAGTCATGCAATTGGTTTTTGCAAAGGAAGTAAAGCATTCTTTTATTGGTACTGTGCTGAGTTGAAATTGACTAAATTTAAGTATAATTTACTATCCAATCATTTTTTTGAAAATGACAACCTCTCAGTAGACTTCTGAGTCTTGAAATACCCACATGGGAAAGGGGTCAGCAGTGAAATTTTTTCTTATGGTTCCCCATACTCCTTATTCTGCCCTGTGTTCTGTGTCCTAACCCCTTCCTATGTAAATTACTGCATTATTTTGGGACTCAGCTTAAATGTCCCTTCCTCAGCAAGTGTCGTTACTCCCACTTCAATTAGCTTTGTTGCTTTCTTTCTTTTTTTTTTTTTTTTCTTTTTGGTGGGACTGGGGTTTGAACTCAGGGCTTCATTCTTGCAAAGCAGGCACTCTACCACTTGAGCCATACCTCCAGTCTGCTGTATTGCTTTCTTGAAGACTTTATTCATAAGAAAGAAATTCATCTGAATAGTACATAAAACCTGTAGTTTTATGAATTATTACTCCTTAAATAATGATATTCCTTCTTCTACTGAGGTTAGCTTTAAATTCCACACAGCCTCTCTGAGGTGTGTATTTATAAGATTGTGCTGAGACCCCTGGTATTTACAAAGGTGACAGTTAGTTTAGAATGTTCTGTGTGTGTTCTTGAACATTTTGTGTGACAGGTTAGGGAAAGGAGAATCAAAACATTTTCCTCCACCCATAACATGAGTGAATTCTGGAAGACAGTTTCAAATGAATAAATTGAACAGCATAAGAGAGTCTCAGTTGGATTGGAGAAAGGGAGATTACAGTGCTTGACAAGATAGGCTGCTGGGAAACAATGGCCCATCCATCCCTTTAATCCTTGCTACATAGGTGTTTGATATTGGGAGGGTTCTGTTTCCAATCAGCCAGGCCAAATAGTTTAAGAGACCCCAATCTGCAATGTTAGCAGAGCTAAATGGACTGGAGGTATGAGTCAAGTGGTGGAGAGTCTATTTTGCAAGGAAGAAGACCTGTATCCAAATCCCAATACCACCAAAAAAAAGGAGGCCGAGATTAGGGGGAACGTGATTCAAAGCCAGCTTGTCAAATAGTTCGTGAGACCCTATCGTGGAATTCTCTTCACAAAAAAAATGATGGGTAGATTGGCTCAAGGTATAGGGTCTGAGTTCAGATTCCAGTACTGGAAAAAAAATTGCATTTTGATCATGGAAACTGTTTGGAAACACTCAGTTCCTCTTTCTTTTTACCTGATGAGTTAATGCCACCAAAGTTCCAGGTACAGTTGAACTTTGTGTTCAAACATTTCTAAGAATACATAGTCTCAGGACAAATGATTTTTGTTTGTTTTGTTTTTTCTTTTGTTTTTCCTTGTGGGAGTGTGGCTTGAATCAGTGCATGCTTACCAGCCCTAGTGATGTTAATTGTCTTGTGCAAGCTGAATTGTAGTTCATCATTATGACAGAAATTATAGACCCACTCTTTAATAAGAAATTAGGGTGGTTAAGGAGTATTCAGTTTGTTCTGCTACTGCTGTTGTTTTCACAAGTATTTTCTGGCTAGTATTAAAAGTGCTATGTGAAAGAGTGTGGGTTTGCATGAAAATGAAATGTTAATGCCCATGACATGGAATGAACACTTTGAGAACACAGCATCATGTGAACCCTGGAAGTCTATATCGTCAGTACTGTCAGTCTGATCTTCTTCCTTGACATACACATGTCATGTTTTAGGCACCTGTGACCTTTGATGACGTCTGTGTCAAGTTCACCCAGGAAGAATGGAGTTTGCTGGATCCTTCACAACAGAAGATGTACAAGGATGTGATGGTAGAAACCTTCAGGAACCTGGCCTCTGTTGGTAAGGATGACTTCATTCCCTTAGTCAATGAGAGAACCAGTTTTTGTTGCTCATCAATGCTTTGGAATAATTTGGAATGTGGAAACAATAAGTGCAGTGAATATACCAGATGTTGGCACATTATAACATAAGCCTACTTAGAATCTAGTAGTTATTCTGTACTAATGTTTTTCAAAATGTCTTCTTCTGTCTCTATTTTATAAAAAAAAGCAAACAAAAAAACAGAGGAAGCTCAGACCAATGAAGAAGTTTACAGAAATTCCAGAAGAAATCTAAGGTAATTTGCACTCACAACAGAAAGCAAGTTAAACCCTGAAGGAAAGGAATGTGAAACATGTTATGTGAAGGGGAGGTCAGTAGTGAGAGGGGAGAGGGTAAATGAAGAGGGTCAAGAGGGTATGGTTGATTTGCCTTTTTTAGCAGGGTTGGGAGAAGGAGTTGTGGTTTGAACTCTGCCCTTGGAACTGGCAAGGCAAGCATTCTAACACTTGCAGCATCCCTCCAGTGTGTTTCCTCTGGGTTTGTTGGACATGGGTCTTGAGAAGTATTTGCCCTGGTGGACCTTGAACCTGGATCCTCTAAGTCTCACTTTCCCTAGTAGCTAGGATTACAGGAGCTAGCCACTCTCCGACCACGTATATGTACTTTCTGCACATGCATTTATATGGAACAGTGCAACCTACTGAAGTTATTTTAAGGTGGGGAATGGGGCAGGAAGAACAATGAAAAAGATGGGATAAAACAAACTGGGATATAATATATGTATATATGGAAATTCACAATGGAAGCCCATGTATAAATACCATATAATAATACAAATATTCAAAAAGAAATGAGAGGGAAAGAGAAGTGTCACTTAAGAAACAAAGAGGATATAGGTGTGTCCCAACTGATAGAGTGCATGCATTGCAACTGTGAAGCACCAAGTTCAAACCCCAATACATAAGAAAAGATGAATTAAAGCAGAGAGAAATTACATTTTTTTTTCTTTTGTGCTCAGGATTGAACTCTGCTTCTCCAGTTGTCTGCACAGGTGCTCTACCACTTGACTAATTCTGACAACCCAGAATTAAATTTGTCAAAAAGAAAATGATGTTGTGGACTGGTAGACTTTCTTAAGGGAAGCAGTGTAGTGCTAACCCAGCAGTGTGAGGGATGCTTTTCAAGCCATATGCTTTGCGTTCAAACCTTATCCTTAACCAAAACCAAAACAAGTGTTTTTTGTTGTTTTGCACCACCATGAGCCAACATGCTGGTGTGTCATACCTGTAATCATAGGTACTTGGGAGGCATAGATCAGGATGATTGAAATTTGAAACCATCCTCAGGAAAATAATTCTTGAAATCCTAACTCAAAAATCCCTAACACATTAAAGGGCTGGCAGACTGGTGCAGGTGGAAAAGTGCCTGTCTAGCTACGGTGAGGCCTTCAGTTCAAACACCAGTACTACACACAAAAATAAACCCAGGAAATTCCAATCCAAAATTTTCCAGTATCAGAAATGTGTATTACCACCATGACACCCCAGTGATAATCTGCAGTTTTTATGTACAAAACCGTTCATTCAATAAATTGTGAAAAATGTGATTATATGAACTTTCTTTCAGGGTGTGAATATATGGTGCATTTGCAGAAAATGAATTCTGTGCTTGGATTGGTGCCTGTACTCTTCAATATAGCTTCTTAGGATCATGCAAATTCTTCACAATATAAAGGATTTTGCTCACAGCTTTTCCATGTACAATACTCAAATGCATTTAAATGTAAAGTAGATAATCAATGTTTGCAAAATACTGGGATGGAATCTTTAGATACCCATAACCATGCCAGTGGTCTGATAATATATGTCCTGGAACCATCCTGCATGGTCAAAAATTCTTTCAGGGCATAAAATCATTACTCCTCCTGGTATGTATTTGAAAATATAGCTTAGTAATGTGTTTCTCATTATTTCTAGAGGTCAAGTGGTAGGGAGATTCTGTGAACAGAAAGAAGATATTCAGTGTGAAGTCTTCAGGCATGCTCCAGAACATATCATGAGCAAATTACTCCTGCTGGAGTGGGAACAAAAGAAAACTGTATGTGTACAGAAGTCTTCATCAGGCATCCATCCCTATGTCTGTCTGTCAGAACTCAGAGTGGATCTGAGCCACATGAGTATCAGGAATATGGAAAAAGCCACTTAAAAGGAAGGATTCTGGAAAAACCTTTCCTGTCTCCAGATTTCTTAGATGGCATGAAAGAAGTCACACTGGAGAGACATCGTTTCTAAGTAAGCAGGGTGGAAAAGTCTCCTTTCAATTTAGTGGCATTTGCAAACATGAATTGACTCGTGGTGGAGAAAAAACGTATGTTTGTAAGCAGTGTGGTAAACCCATGCCACATTTGTGTGCTGTTGAAAACCATGAAAGAACTTCCATTACAGAGAAACTCTATGTATGCAAGCAATGTGGAAAAGCCTTCAGTTCTTCCTGTTTCCTCAAATCACATGACTGTTTTCACAGTCGAGTGAAGCCCTTTATATGGAAGCAATGTGGAAAAGTCTTTAGTTCATCCACCTGGATGAACTTCAAAAAGCATGAACGACTTCACATTGGAGCAAAACATTATGCTTGTAAACAATGTGGGAAAGCCTTCTATTGGTCCAGTGAACTTCAAAGACACATAAAAATTCACAGTGGTGAAAAACCCTATGTTTGTGAGCAGTGTGGAAAAGCTTTTAGTTCTTCCAGGTACCTCAAAGAACATGAAAATATTCACACTGGAGCAAAACCTTATGCGTGTAAAGAATGTGGGAAATCCTTTTATTGGTCCAGTGACCTTCGAAGACATCTAAAAACTCACAGTGGTGAGAAACCCTATGTTTGTGAGCAGTGTGGAAATGCTTTCAGTTCTTCCAGTTCCCTCAAAACACATGAAAGAAGTCACACTGGAGAGAAGCCCTTTGCATGCAAACAATGTAGAAAAGCCTTCTATTGTTCCAGTAAACTTCGAAGACATGTAAAAACTCACAGTGGTGAAAAACCCTATGTTTGTGAGCAGTGTGGAAAAGCTTTTAGTTCTTCCGGTTACCTGAAAATACATGAAAAAATTCACACTGGAGTTAAACCTTATGCATGTAAAGAATGTGGGAAAGCCTTCTATTGGTCCAGAGAGTGTAGAATACATGCACTAAGTCACTTTGGTGAGAAACCCTATGTATGTGAGCAATGTGGAAAAGCTTTTATTTGTTCCAGTTACCTGAAAAAACATGGGCGAATTCACACTGGAGAGAACTTTGCATGTAAGCAGTGTGGAAAAACCTTTAGGTCATCCAATTACCTCAAAATACATGAAATTATTCACACAGGAGCAAAACCTTATGCATGTAAACAATGTGGAAAAGCCTTCTGTTGGTCCAGTAAACTTCAAAGACATGTAAAAACTCACAGTGGTGAGAAACCCTATGTATGTGAGCAGTGTGGAAAAGCTCTTAGTTCTTCCAGTTGCCTGAAAACACATGAAAGAAGTCACACTGGAGAGAAGTCCTTTGCATGTAAGCTATGTGGAAAAAGCTTTAAGTCATCCATTTATCTCAGACAACATGAGCAAATGCACACTGGAGTGAAATCTTATGAATGTAAACAATGTGGGAAAGCCTTCTATTCACCCAGAGGCCTTCGAACACATCAGCAATTTCACTGTAGTGCAAAAACCTATGTATGCAAGTAATATGGAAAAGCTTTTACAACTTCTAGGTACCTGAAATTACATGAAGGAATTCACAATGGAGAAAAGACTTCTACATGTAAACAATGTGACAAAGCCTTTACTTCATCCAGGTACTTCAAAACACATGAACGAATTCATACTGCAGTGAATCCTTATGAATGTAAACAATATAGGAAACCCTTTTATTCTTCCAGCGACCTTTGAAGACATACAGAAGCTCACCTTGGGACAAAACCTGAGTATGTTACCAGTGTGGGAAAGCCTACTTCTGTCGAGTGTCCTTGAAAGACATGAATTAAGTCACAGTCATGTAATGTAGAAAGAAAATAAGGTGAGGCAATCCCTTGCATGGGCACAGTCACTTAGGTGCAGAAGTCTGTTGTGCATGTGATTGAATTAGCACTGTTTCCTTGTCAGACATAGAACACATAATAAATCTGTTTCTGGGTTTAGAACTCACTTTTTGAGCTTGTATAGTATACTTTCTAAGGCTAGCACATTGGATCATGTGGGGTAACAGCACCAGCCTGACAAGTGTGAAGGCCCTTAGTTCAAGCCCCAGTGCTGCCCCAACCCCCAAAAATACACAGTAGTATTTTTAATTTCAAAGATGACATCAGAACAGAAAGGGCAAATACTAGTTTGTTGTGTATTCAAATCACTAATTAAAATATATTTATAATTGACATGTGACATAGTCTCAAAAATTACCTTACAAAAAATGCTGGCAGAGTTGCTCAACTTGTAGAGGGTAGAGGGCCTGCCTAAGAACCTCTGAGGCCCTCAGTTTAAATCCTAGTCCCACCCAAAAAACTTCTCACAGGTATAATTTTGGCTTAATTACTCATGACTGCCCAGTCTTGCTCAGTGATTGAAGTTCATCATGTCCGTTCTTTTGTTCTCTTCCACACCACCATGCTCTTCAACTCTCTGTCATTGGAAACAGAAATGGAGCATTTGGGAAGCAGCCATGCAGCTTCTGAGATGTCCCCGTAAGCAAGGAAAGAAACAGAAGGCCACACAAATTTCTATTCTGCAAGCCATTTTGAGTGATTCATCCTTCCCTATTATGACTAGATTCTGCTTCTCAGGCACATATTCTGTAGTGTTCATTATTAGATTGTGGAATGTGTTGGAGGGGTAATTTTTTTTCATGACACTGGGTTTGAATTCAGTTCCTCAAGCTTGGTAGATAGCCACACCAAGTGCTAGAGATTAACGTGCATGAGCCACCAGCTCCACGAATTTCAAAAAACAGTCAAGGCAGGGATGACACAAGGCACATGCATTGTGTTCTCATCTATCTCCTGACCCTTAGACAAATTATAAGTTGGGATGGGAAATATAAAATTTAAAACATTTTGGGAAGACACTCTCAAATCAATTTTGGATGTAAGAAAAATTTCTTCCATAGGAAAAAATTAAGGAAAGACATGGGTGGAGAAATAAAATGTACTAAAATTACTGGAGATAAAAGACAGTCAACAAAGTAGAATAAAAATACCTGCAATACATATAATGTAAAAGTATTAGTTAGCCAGGCACCAGTAGCTCACCCCTGTACTACTAAGTACTTGGGAGGCTGAGCTCTAGAGAGTAAAGGTTTGAAGCCAGCCCCAGCAAGTTGTATGCCAGACCCCATCTCCAATATAACTAGAGCAAAATGCACTGAAAGTGTGGCTCTAGCTTGTTTTGCAATCTGGAAGCCGGAGTTTAAACTCCATACCAAAAAAACCCAAAAGCATTAACTTTCAGAGTAAGCTATATGACTGGAATTATAATGAGCCGTGGTTAAAATAAAGCTTATTCAAGATACAACACCATGCACATAATCAGTACTGATTTTGAATGGTGGCAGGGGAGGCTAAGAGGAGTTGGGAACATTCTAATCTGCCTTGCTGCAGATACAGCACAGTGATATATTAACCTGAATTTTGAAAGCTGTAAATGAACACAGCTACCGCTTGGGAATAGTTTCAACCATGTAGGAATCGAGGCAAGGGAATCCTATAAAGTGCTGAATTATATAAAGTGACAATGCAGAAATACATGGGGAACTTAAAAGCCCTGACCAAGTAAGTTCAGCAGGCAAACAACTGTCCCCAAATTGGCAAGATAAAGAGATCAACCCAGAGAATCATAGCTTCCTGGAATAAAAGCTCATAAGGAGAACAAAGAAAGGAAAGCTTGAACTGCAGCTGATGAACTGCTGAAGGCTAAGTGTCCAGTAGTTTGACAGGTAAATTCTAGAAGAGATTCAGGTTTAGAGGACATCGTACATATGAGCGTTTCACCTCTAAAAGCCCTACCAGGGTCTCACAGTAAATTTCAGCCACCAATTGTTTCAATAAAATACATTAGAAGTGTTGGAAACATGGTTCAAATGGTAGACACCTGCTTAGCAAGCATGAAGCCGTCACCTTAAACCCCAGTACCTCAAATAAAATGAACAGCTACAATGTGCTATTTATTAATCCATCAGTTGTATCAAGATGCGAATTATTTAAATGCACCAATTAAACAACAGTGATACAGTTGATTAGAAAAAAAGAACCAAGTGTGTTCCTTTCATGAGAAAGGTGTAAGTAGTTGAAGAAATACTAGTCTAAGTATTCAAAATATCTCTTGGAAGCTTGGTGCCAGTGCCTCACACTTGTAAATCCTAGGTACTCAGGAGACAGAGATCAGAGAATCACTGTTTGAAGCCAGTCCAGGTAAATAGTTAGAGAGATTTTCTCAAAAACACCCAACACAAGGGCTGTTGGAGTAATTTAAGTGGTAAGAGTGCCTGCCTAGCAATCCTGAGGCACTGAGATCAAACCTAGTGCTGCCCCCCCCCCCCCCCAAAAAAAGTCTCCATCTCTCAACAGTGTTTATAAGCTATTAATGAGCAATGCATAATATGTGCCTGAGCTGGCTTTGAACCATGATCCTTCTGATCTTTGCCTTCTGGGAAGCTAGTGTGACAGCTGTGGGCTACTGTTCAACTACAATGTAGGTATTCTAGTTACAATGAAATAATTATAGGTATGAAAAGCAGTGTATCCAGTTAATAGCCTAATTTCACCCCTCTGTAATGTATACAATTTTCCAAGCATCATGTCAGTTATGATTCATTACATTTTGATTAGCATATAAATATTTCTAAAATCAAACTAATGGCAAGAATAGATGACATGAGGTTATTCATTGAGACAGAATTCTAACACTACCTCAGACCTAGAGAAGCTATAATTCTAGTCCTATGTGGAAATAGCAGATAAGTATTCACTCTTACATCCTGAGTCAGTCTGCCTGACATTTAGATGTTTTTATTGTGTGTTTTGACAGCTCTGGCAAAGATCTAATTCATTTCCTTTTGCCCAGGTAGAACCACAGGGCATTTCTGTATGACTATAACCTGTGTTTTACTGATAACCTCTGCAATTGAGCATTTTTCCTACATGGGTTTTCAAGGATGGTGAAAATTGTTTCTTCATGTCTCTCCTTTTCTCCCTCCTTCCTTCTCTATGTTATGTAAAGGTTTTCTGTTTTTATTTCAAGTCCAGTTTTTATAGTATAAGACCATGAATATTTTTTCAAGTGTCAGGCTACTGATCATTCACATATTCATGGGTGAAATCAGCACAGACGTAGACTCTTCTCTGTGCCGCAGACCAACACAAGTGTGTTTGGGAAACTGAGATTGGTAGGATTGAGGTTTGATGACAATAGTTTGAGAGCCCATCTCTGAAGAAGCTGAATGGATTGCAGGTGTGGCTCAAGCAGTAGATTTCCTGATTTGCAAGTGTGAAGCCCCAAGTTCAAACATTAGTCACATCCTAGATACTCAGGACACAAATCAGAATCATTGCAGTTTGAAGTGAGGCCCGGCATATACTTTGTGAGATCCTATTTTGGAGAAACCCATTTTAAAATAGGGTGATGGAGCTGGGCACCGGTGGCTCATACCTATAATGAGCAACTCAGGCGGTAGAGATCAGGAGGATCGCATTTTGAAGCCAGACCAGGCAAATTGTTCATGAGACCCTATCTCAAAAAACCCTGTCATAAGAAATTGGGCTGGTGGAGTAGCTCAAGGTGAAGGACTGCAAATATAAAGGTGATGGATTGGCTAAAGTAGTAAGAGTGACAGCCTAGCAAGCATGAGGCCCTAAGTTCCAACCTCAGACCACCAAAAAGCAGGAGAGCAAAGCTGTAGGTATCACTAAACTTGACTGAATAGTACTAGGGGCCCACAGTAATAGAAACAGCAGACATTTGCAAAAAAAAAACCCAGCAACAACAAAAACCAAACATTTACACCAGTAGAACAGAACACCTATAAATAAACATCCCAGTTACACCCACGGTATCTTTGACAAAAAAAGGCCAAAATCATACTGAAAGGACAGCTCAAATGGGGGGCCCTGAGATAGAGATCACCAGAACCAGGAAGAACTGCTTCCAAGACAGCTGGCCCCAGCCCAGAAACAGCTGTCCTGAGAAAGAAGCAGCCAGCACTAGCCCAGAAAGAGCTGCCTTGTGGAGGTAGGAAACCACTGCAGAGGGAATAAAAGCACCCCATGCTCCCCAGGAAGCACCTGGTTTCAGGATTCTGCTGCTTGAGGCACTCCTCTTTACTCCTCAGTTTAAGAGCAGCCTTTACTTTCACTTCTGGGAAATTGTATAACTTTCTTACCTTCACCTTGGTGGAGTTTTCTATCATTAATTATTAATGTCTTAGAAAACAAGAACCTGTCTTGACTGACTACAGCACACCTGCACATAAATATTTTGGAGGAAATACTGTCTCTTCAACTAATGGTGGTGGAAAACTGAGTTTTTATGCACAATTTTGAACTAGATTTTAAATACCCAGTAACAAAATGGATTCAAAGTACCTCAAGCCACTGTAGATATGCATGGAATTATCACAGTGAAATCCCCTTATATTGTTAATTATGGTTCAAAAATTAACAACACACAGGAGAAGAAAACAGGAGAATAGGCCAGTGTGAGATGATTAATCATGTAAGGTGGAAATAAAGCAAGGTGAGGCCATCACTTACATCAGCACTGTCCCTTCCTTCATTGCAGGAGTTGGTCAAGCATGTGATTGATTCAGCTCTGATTCCTGCCATACACAGAATGCGTAATCATCTTGTTTTCCTTCTTAGAACTCAAGCATTTTACCTTGTGTATTTTCTAATTCATATCACAACAAAAATGGCAAGTATTGATATGTTGCAGATTCATCACACATCATGATGAATTTAAAAAAAATCTTTGTTGTGGTTGTATGTGTTCAAAATAGTGAGTGAACTTGCCTAGGAAGCATAAGGGTTTGAGTTCAAATGCCAGCACCAGCAACATAAGGAAACAAAACCACACCTGAGATAATTTAAAAATAAAACAGAACAAAACACAGTGAGGACGGTGTTGTATAGAGAAATAATTCTCTCTCCTAGAGGTGTGGAGGAAAAAGGAGGTGTGGGATCAAGCAGATGCAAAGCTG